GCGGATTCAGGAGTAATTTCGTTCCACTCACACTTGCGGCGGGATTTTTCCTTCTTGCCAGGTTTGTGCGAATTCGACTCCACACTGCGGCTGCTCCCCGAGACAATTTATATCTCATCCGGTTCAACTTCGTCGTCGCTGTAATAATGCTTATCGCTTTACACGGAACAAGTATCCTAAAAATACTTCCTATCCTTACGGTCAACTACTTCATCTCCAAGTCGTGTGGCGGCTCCAAATTAGGCCCGCTCTTCAGCTGGATCTTCAACACGGCGACCCTTTTCCTGAATGACCGGTATAGTGGATACCGCTTTGGACATGTGACATCTTCTCTTGCATTTCTAGTTCGTTCATCATTTTCTCCGTTTCTTTCCCTTCCCTGACATGATAGCAGGACTCGTATGGGGGAATTTACCCTCGGTGGCACGTCAGTTTCAATATAACAATGCTCCGGCTTGTCTCTTTTAGCGTGGACTATTACTGGGCATGTAACAATACAAGTGGCTCTGAGGTGGATCTTCCTTCTGATTACTTCGCGACTCGAACTTACCTAAGGAAGGATACGGCCAGTCTGAACGAAAAGCAGCGCCAAGCTATGGCACACCCGGAAGTCATGTATTCCTATGTGAACTACATGTCTTACGCGCTCTATCCACCGCTCTACCTTGCCGGCCCCATTATGACTTACAACGACTACATCTGGCAGGTCAGTTCTTTTCCCGTGTCAAAGCCCGCGGCCTTGACAGTACGTCAGCATCGCAGACCGCTCGCTATTCCCAGGTCGATTGTCCTGCGCTACTTTGTCCGCTTCATGATATCCCTGTTGACCATGGAATTCATCTTACACTACATGTACGTCGTCGCGATGAAGGATACCAAGGCCTGGATCGGCGACTCGCCGGCCCAGATTGGCATGATTGGCTTTTGGAATCTCGTAATCGTTTGGCTGAAGGTAGGAGTTGTTTTTTTCTTCGTCGGCCGCTCTTGCTAAAACATCTAGCTACTCATTCTGTGGCGGTTCTTTCGGTTATGGGCCATGCTCGGTGGGATCGAGACTCCAGAAAATGTGGTGCGGTGTATGGCCAACAACTACTCGACTTTCGGCTTCTGGAGAAGCTGGCATCGGAGCTACAATCTGTGGATCATACGGTAATGTCGTCGAAAGATTTTCATGCATCTTTTCTCTCACCCTTTTTCAGATATATCTACATCCCTGTCGGCGGTACCAATAACGTCTGGCTCAATACCTTGCTAGTCTTCACTTTCGTAGCGTTGTGGCACGATCTGACATTCCGGTTGTTGGCGTGGGGCTGGCTCGTTAGTTTGTTTATCGTCCCAGAGCTTGCTGCTCGTTATCTTCTTCCTGAATCCAAGGTGCGTAGTCACTTCTTGCGCTGTCGAGTCCGTTAACATGCGCAGTATGGGACCGAGCCTTGGTATCGGCATGTCTGCGCCGTCGGAGCGGTCCTCAATATCCTGATGATGATGACGGCTAACCTAGTAGGTTTCGTTATTGGTGTTGATGGAATACAGTACTTTGTGCGCCAGCTCTTCGGGACAACGGAAGGTCAGCATTTATACATATATACAAATCTCACGGTGCCTTCTTGATCACGTGTACTATATAGGATTGCGTTTTCTAGTCGGTGCTTCTGTGTGCCTCTTTGCCGCTGCACACTTGATGTTCGAGTACCGGTCAGTCTTTTGTTGATTTTCCTCATCCCAGGTCTCATCTCAACCCATTTCTTACGTAGTGAGGCAGAAAAACGTATGGGGATAGTGCGAAGATGTTAGGTTTTTAGCCGAATTTGTTGTCTTTATTTATTTGCTTCCGGCGGTGAACTGTGTGATTGGTTCGGTAAACTCGACCGACCTCCGCCGACTAGCGCTCACCTCTTCCGGTGCAAGAATTGTGCCCAAGACGACTTTAAGTTGACATTCGAGCGCGATGCGGGCAATTGACTTCCATGAAACCCATCTATTATTTTCTCCACGTGCAATTTTTTGCGAAGCGGTCCCCCTGTGTTCGAATGGGGAAGTGGACCCACAAGCGTACGTTGAGGAGGTGGCCGTAACGTCATATGGAGACCTCTGGAAAATCTATGCGGAGCAAATTTTATGTTCGATTGAGCCACAATCTGAACCAAATTGTCCCGAATTGCGCAAATTATATGATTTTTGGCCCACTTCCGGCCTTTTGATGGTCAAACCTATTTTGGAATGCGCTACCCTGTACGTCAACGGTCGAGACTCGCTAGTCATGCTATTGGTTAAATTGGTGCGACCCGGAGCCCTCGGCGCACTGCATGTTCTTTCAGGTTCCCATCGTACCCAATTACGAGCACGATGCAAGAGGTGAGCGCTATGTACATCAGCTATCCCTTGTATTTTCCCCTCACATGCAACCAGAACAAACCGAAACAGGCGCCTTTGTGCATTGATTTTTTGGTAATCGGTGCAGGCGTCGCTGGACTCGCTTGTGCCATCGCACTGCGGCGGGTTGGACACAGAGTCCTCGTTATTGAACGTGAGAAGCAGATTGGCGAATCAGACGTGCGTTATCTTTGCTGTTCCGTCACTGACGCCGCTGACACCCCCCACTGACGTTGTCATCAGGCTTCTCGAGCAGTTCGCATGCCACCCAATTTGTCGAAAATTCTGTACCATTGGGATCTAAAGCCAGAGGTGTATTCCGTGGCGGCAAAGTCAAAAGCCATCCAGATCTCTCGCTGTGCGTTGCACCCTTCTATCTTCGGTCCCACCCTGATTCTGCCTCTTCAGTTGAGACGGGCGATCTTCTTGGACGACATTATTGGGATGAAGAGGTTCTCAGAGAAACGCGGGGAGAATTCCTGTTCGCCCATGTATGTTTGGCATCTCCGCTTGGTTTTGTGTGTGGCTAACCCCGTCAGCTTGCGGATGTTCGCAAGATGATGTTTGACGTCGCAGTTGCTAAAGGCGCAACGATTCGACTCAACGCCACAGCCGTAGCCGTCGATCCTGAGCGACGTATAGTTACTCTTGCTTCCGGAGAAAACCTCAAGGCCGATGTAATTGTTGGGGCGGAGGGTGCGTCTGGTCTTGTGCGGCCCTTGCTCCTCAGGGAGCAAGGCATCGAGGAAGCCACAGAACCGCGCTACTGCATGTATAGGCGAGCCTGAACACCTCGTGTCCGGTATTATGGCTGATCTTCAATGTCCAGTGCCACGATACCCGAATCCTTGGCCGTCACAGACCTTCACTGCAAAAAGTTCTTTGAGACAGAAGTTGTTCGTCGAGTATTCTTATATGCTGCTGAGCTAATGGCCATCTAGACCACCATGTTCTCCTTCTTTGGCAACGATCAGTCGGTCATCAGCCACCCTCTGGTGAGTACCTGCTCGCTGTTGGCCTGCGGCTTTCCTTATCTATTCTAGGGCGGTTCACCTGCGTTTTCATTTTGTCTATATCGACCATGGGATGAATACGAAGACTCGCCCATAAGTGGGATGCGTGCTGCCCTGGAGGAGGCGGAACCACGGTACTAGATCCGTTACGCGTTTTTCGAATTCTAACAGCCTTCAGATTGAAAAACCTCGGTCCGCTGATGTTGCCGCCCCGACGATTTCCGATTCTTGAGTACCCAGCGCTCGACGACTGGGTCGATGAGACTGGTCGAGTCGTCGTGATCGGCGGTGCCGCTCACACTATTCCAGTACGTTTCGATTATCATAATTATTGCTCCAATACGGCTGGTTCTGACCTCACTTATAGACTGGCTCTACCCAATATTATGCCATGGGGGTCGAGGACGGAGCAGTTCTGGCAAAATTGTTCTCTCACTTGCACACCCACGATCAAATCAGCGACTTTCTATATGCGTTTCAGGATCTTCGACAACCGCGGTGTGCAACGGTCCTTGCGTCGGAGACGGGTATCATACAGTACATGGGAATGCCGAATGGGCCGGACCAGGAAATGCGTGATCAGGGTATGAGGGCGAAAGCTGCGATGGGAGGGAATGTCCTCGAGGCATCGGGTGACCAGGAGGAGTCCCCTGAGTGGGCGGAGATCAAGAATGTCTTTGGCTACGACGCCGAAGATGAGGCAGACAACTGGTGGGTAAGTTGGGGGCTCTTAAAACAGAGATCTATGGGTACACTTGTCGATCTGGCTGTCGGTGCCCTTCAGATTCAGATGGCAGCCGTGTCGTAGCCCGGTTGCGTAGGAATCCTATTTTCTACTTTTAGCCATCCTTTGATCCTGATCCAGCAACCTCGCCCTCAGGCTTCAGCAGGGACCTGTGGTGCTGCTCCTTGTCATGCACTTTTAGTATACATTTACATTTACCTCGTCCATTCAATGCGGTTTGACCATAATTAGCACTCGATCCAGTTTTTGACACTCGCAATCCTACACAATAACTTATACTTGCACTCGTGCTGGCTTGGGCTTTTCTAGATAACGAGGTGCGCGGTAAGACTAGCTTTGACCATGGTAGAAAATGCTGTCATCGATTCAATCCGAATTGCGACCTTTGACTCGGCCGACTTCGGAAGATCGACGACTTCAAGCACCTAACGAATCCTTCCTTCCAAGCGAGGGACGGCGGGATACCCTTTGATGGCTAACATTGTCGCCACCCAATTTTGAAAGTTAACAAGGTCAGTTTTGGCTGCTCATGTCAGCGTGAAATGCGAGGGCTCCCATACCATTGCTGGGATACGCCCGCCGGAATATGTGTAGTCAATGGCCTGGAGAATGTGTCTTACCACTGGTCTGCCCACCTACATGTCTGTCCGCCAATGAGACGTCTGTCTCGTGCCGTCTGCTGCTACGGAGAATTCAGACTTCTCATATTGAACCACGGTATAATTTTCTGGTGCTGTTTCCCGAAAGCCACATGGTCCTGAATGCTTATAAGCTACTGGAAAATAAAACGGTTCCGACTGGGACCCAAGCGTTGAGCCACTGCACAAATAACGTGGAAATAACTTGGAAATAACTTGGAAAAAAATAAATTCCGTGTCGGGGAATCGAACCCCGGGCTGCCGCGAGCGTTACATAATGAGATTACTAAACACGTGAGAGGCGGCAATGTTAAACCCCTACACCAACACGGACACAATACATTAGGGAGAAAGGCAAATATAACGTGACGCCGTTTTGCTATATCATGTGATCCGGCCTATGCTGCACGCAATGTTCCCACCTTGAACTCAATTCAACGGCGTGCCCCACAAGCCGGGAGCAAAAATGTCGCACCCTAGCATCGATTCGATTGAGCACCAAAACGGAGGCATTGATGTTTGGCGGTGGGTTACCCATCGTCTGGACGGACTCGCACAGCCACACACACAAGTAAGTCGGCGATGTGTCGGCAAATCCATAGGCTTCATGAAGAACGGTGGTTTGAGGGAAACGAGAAAAGCGCCAGGGAATCCCTGGAGACTTTCGAATGTGGCGCAGAGGACAGTTGACGGAGGGGCTCGAACGAGGGAGGTGTCGGCAGGCGTCGGGTTTGGCATGCCAACTGGCAAGTATAATGAGAGGTACGGCGCATAAAATAGTCGGCTGGCGGAATCGAACGCAGGACCAGGGGGTGTGTCAGGCGGCGGCGGGAGTGGCGGGATAACCGGTGAGCCAGGCGGAGGTTGGGAGCAACAGATGCAAGGACGCCAAAGGATGGCGGTTAGGCTCCTCGGCAGCCAATGATGTCACCACCCGCAGCGGGTGCGTGTTTGGATGAGCATTTTGGCGATGGTGGAGCCATCGTGTTTGCCACGTTCGGTTTGCACGTGACATCATGATGGCATGTCCGCAGGGCTCAAAGGTAGGACCCCTGATAATACCCTTGGATCCCAGATCCCGGTTCGGACAAATTTTCGTCGATTTGGACCTTAAACCTAGGTCCGTTTCGGACAAAAATGGGGGGTCCGACGACGACAGCCTAGGTCCCAGTTCGGACAAAATCTTCGGGCCCTGGGCACTTTCACCCGCGGGATCTGTGTTACCCTGGTAGCCTACTTGGTGTGGTTACTTACTTTCCTTATCATGTAATATTTTCCCGTCTTTTTGCGCGTTCGAGCCCAGGCAAGCGCAATTTTTTGCCTTCAATCGCCTTCCTTTTTCAGATTTATTTGCATTCACCACATAAATATAAATACCTTTTTTTCGTCATCTTCTCGCACTCGCCGGGCGCTCAGAGTCAGCATGGCCACCATCGTGGTCGACAATGAAAAATAATTTATTGCGGACGACCCTTTCTCAATTCAATAACGCTATGACACTATTTAGAAAGCAGGGCAAAAGGCGGCAGCGGCAGAGGGTGATTCTGGTGAGGAGGCAGAAGAAATTCTTGGCACGGAACCAGGTGTTCTTTATACACTTTAGATTGTAAAAAACGCTTTTTTGGGGCGCCTGTAGGCCATATACGACGTGCGGAGCAAAATAAACGGATTTTTGGAGGCTAGTACCGGTTCGGACAAAATTTGGCCATCCGGACAAAATTTGTTCGGACAAAAATGGGCCGATCGGGTCTGGCCGGGATCTAGCCTCCAAAGGGGTCCTTCAAAGGTGTGCCCTTGCTGCGTTCGCTCCGCTCGAAAACACTTGGCACCCCTACGCACTCGAGCCACCCCCCTCGCTCCGCTCGAAAACACTTGGCACCCCCTGACGCGAATCGCTTCGCTCAAAAACACTTGGCACCCAATCCACTTTGATCGCTGCGCTCAAAAACACCGTCGTTGGGCCGGCACCCCACTCGCTCCGCTCGAAATTTGTGGCCTCCTCGCCAGGGCTCGTCAGCTGCCGAAGTCAACTGTGAATGTTACCGCTACGCCATATCGGACATATTTATCTGTAGATTAGAGTGGTCAGATGGCTTCAATATGCTCTTATAGCAATACATAGGTACAAAGGTAGTAACTACTTAATTGGCGCTCTATACAATACAAGGAGGATTGTGATGAGAGACACCTAAGATCCACTCGCGAGGTCCGTCACGTTGAAAGCAGGGCCATGCAAGTGGACAAGGGTGTGGCTGTGGTCAGGCCCCCGGTCACTACCGTGTAACATTGTCCGCCTTACATCCAAAATTTCCGTTGTTTTACTCTACGAAATTTGGCCATTCAGAAGCTGATTTACTCTATTCCGGACAAGGTTCTTGGAGGTAAAATTGCAAAAAAAATCCCCTGCTCAATTTTTGGCTCAATTCTAGTGGAAATAGTCTGTTCTGGTCAAGTTCCATTGCATCCAAGCAGTTCCAACACCTAGAAAGCTTCAAAAAACTTGCATGAGGTTACTGAAAGTGCTTCTTTCTGTGGCCCGGTCCGCCTGAATGCCCCCAAAAAATCCGCGCGCCGCGTGATTTACTCTATGCCGGACTAGGTTACCCAGCTCAGTCGTTGTTTTACTCTATATCCCGGACTAAGTTAGTGTCATTTTGGGCCCTGTTTTACTCTATCCCAGACAATGTTACATGGTAGTGACCGGGGGCCTCTGTGGTCCGAGTTCGGCGGCAAAGAGGCTTGCATGACATCATCGATCGACGTTGTCCCCAATTAGGCAATACCCCTGACCTGCGCCAGGGGCCAGTTTTGCTTCAGATTCGAAGAGAAGCGGTAATTTTGCCTGTATGCTTTTCGAACGTGTACAGTATTGTACCATCACTTGGGATGGGATCACCACTTGGGACAAATCAGTATTGTGCCACAATGTGTACTTGGTTTGCCCCAAGATTTTGTAGGCATCATTACAGACATATGGTCTATAGCTATGCTTAAGTGCAGGGTAATTGAGCAACTAGATCTGCTGCCTGAGAGACATCAATCCAGAAAATGCTGGATCCTCAAATTTTGTAACACATGATCTAGCCCATATCTTACTTGAACTGACTCAAATCACCATCCAAAGACCTTTGGTCAGGAATTCAGAGGCTTACAAACATTTCCCACTGTTCAAATTTGTTCCAGCAGGTCTGAGGAAGCCCAAATGGTCTGAACAAATGACACTTTGGGTATGTGACATGTGTGACCTTGCCAAATTTCGACCTCATTTCTCTGCTCTGTGCAAGTGGTATGGATCACAGGTGCAAGCCAAATTATTTCATAGTCCTCTAGGATTAATTTTGCAACTGAGACTAATATAATTTCAAGGGAAATTCGGTAGAAAGAGTGAATGGTGGCTGTGCATCCCAAGTGGTGGTTTTTGATCGATAAGACAATTCAGGACAGATAAGCCTCGATCTCAATGGTTTCGTACTCAATCACCATCTGGTTCAGTAGATATATAGATTGGACCCTGAAGATGGTTTTGGGTGGCTCAGTTTTGGTGAAAATGGTGCAAGATTTGAAGCCGAGATCAAATCAAATTTGACCATCCCAAGTGATGGTACAATACTGTAAATCATTTGGAAAACAATGGGGTTCATGCAAGTTGAAGTTGATGTATTGATGCGTGAGTATCAATTAATTCCTGAAATTACACCTAGTTCAACCCGCAATCTCAAAGCTCGTAGGTGACCTCGATGGCCCCAGTGTCCAACGGCGCAAGGATCTCATACGCTCCGGTGGTCAAGTCGATATTGCCTTTTCCGCACGCGGCGCAGATGTCGGCGACGGCGACGGCGACGCCTTGCCCGTTGACTATTGATGCGCTCAGATCAGCGGTACGTAGGTGTGTCCTTGAAAAGGACGACATACACTCGACAATGAACTCTGTTCCGCACAGCTCCGAGCTGAAGTCCTCGGTCGAGAGCGCGACCGAGAGGTCGGAGTTCTGAATAGCTGTTCCGCACGCGCCGACCTCGCCGCCGGGGCTGTAGAATGTCGCTGGAGATGACATTCAGTGGAAATGCGTAGGTTACGTAGGGCTGGGAGACACACCTCGGCCAGTGGTCGCGGCAGCAGCGGCGATGAAGGCTGCGAGAGATACGAGGGACTTGGTGAACTGCATTTTTGGTAGGAAGGAGGATTGCTGCATGCTCGGAAATACCAGAGGACTTTTATACGTCCAGGAGTGCGGGCTTGGGACGCCGTAGACAAGAATGGATACCGTAGCTCATGAATTACAAGATACGCGAGGGTTTCAGGTTTATTCAGTGGCGACCTCGGTCGGGTGTCTGCCAAGATGCGTCACTTGGCGGTCTGGGTCTGTCGAGGGTCTGTAGTTATATTAACCGAGGATCAACCACCGAGACCCACACTGTACAGCGATCACAGGTGATCGTTTGAGGGCCATAGGTCAGTAGCAACTCAGTTTTTCTCTACGGTTCGAAAGAAGAACGGGATTTTAGAAATGGGAAGTTGCAGAAATGCTTCGAGTCTTCACGATGTTATTGCAGTGCCGTGGAACCAGGAAGCCCCAGTTTAGTCGTTCCCGAATTCTGCCACGCCAGTAAGAGAATATAGACCATGTTGTGTCTAATTATACACCAGATATCCAGCCCCGTAAGTTGCACGGTTTCGCACGTTTAACAGGGCTGAGCGCTGAGCGCTGATGGTTTCTAGGTAGATCCGTTGCACAACTCCAAGATGTTCAAACGTTCAAGAGATCAAAGGGCGTCAAAGAGTTGACAAGCTGGAAGTCCCCAGGCAAGAATAGAGGACACGCCAACGGCCAGCCTCACGCAGCAGCATTCGAACCACTGGTTGACCACTGCACTGGCCTTGCGCGCCGCGGCTACGATTTAATTATTATGTTATTAAATAGGGCTGGACGCCGTACCGTATACGGCATACGAGTACGGCAGCTTTACAGTGACGGTTGGCGCGGTATCCGTACCGTCAGGTCAAGTTGCTGAGCCTTGCCGGTACGGTACGGTACCGTATTACGGCCGTTACATACTTGCCTTCAAAACAAGGCCAAAATGGTTCAAAATTGGGTCACCTACCATGAATTACGGTGAATGTGATCGCTGGTCCACTGGGTTAACCTTGACATTCGGCGGAAACAGGTGTTCCAAGTCTGCCAGACCGAGCTCGATCTATCCGATTGTTTTCATCAAGTGCACTGTCGATGCGCCGATGGTGTAGCGAGTCGACTAACAATTGGGCCCATATCTTGCAGGTAGGCGGTCGGATCGTGACCAAGGTATACTGCCCTACATGCTCATTGAACATCG